GCCGCCGTCACTTCCCCTTGATGACCTGGAGGCCCCACTTCTCTCTGCCCTGTCCCTGGCTGGGAGCCCCTGCCACCCTGGACTGCCAGGCTCAGTTAAGGCCAGGCTGTTTTGGAAAAATGCTGGGAGGTGGCACAATGTGCGAATGTGCGGTCTTCTAGTTCCCTCCAAGCTGGCGCCTCAATCCCTGTACAAACAGTGTCAGTGTTTGCCTGTCCACTGGGGCCGTGTTCTCCTAGCCAGGCCAGGAGATCCCGGGGCAAGCGTCTGGCTGGAAGACAGCAGGCAGGCGGGCAGACGTCACTGACCCATCGAGCCCCTTGGGGAAAGACAGGGGCAGACGAGTAATGACGGGGCCTGCCACCCACCAGCCCGCCAGCCCCATGGCAGGGTGGTCAGACCAAGGGCAGCACAGGGCCATGCTTCCTACACCACACAGGACATTCCACTCTGAGAAACTACTACCTTCCCTGGCCAGGTTCCCTTGTATTCTGGGCTTCTTGCTGCCAAAGGAGCTCCAGCATGGGCAGGGGCAGTGGACAGGACACAAGACTCTCCCTGGCTTCATTGATGCCACTCTAAAACTCTGCTTTTATGGAAAATAGGGGATTCCTCCTGTTCCTCCATGCCCTATGGAAGACACGGTTAAGGTTAGGATGGGGAAGTAGGGAGCAGAAAGGGCTCAGAGTAGACAAACATTGTTAAATATCTGAATGGTCAGGCTCCGTGACTTGGGCTGACAAGGGTGTGTTTAGGCCACTGTGCTGTGAGCTGAGTTGAGTCTGACTGTGTAGAAAAGAAGTTCTGTAGCCACAAACAGGCAGCTCAGGCATGGACTATTCCTCCCTGGCAGAGGGAAAATGACCAGGGGAGGCAGAAGCTAGGAGCATCCTGGGTGTCTGGGCTCTTCCTGATTCCTAGGGTGCAGCTTGGAGGGAGGGTGGGAAGTGAGGCTTCATCTCTCAAACCATGACAAGGTTTTGGTCATCAAATGGACTTACAGAATACCACAACCCATAGCAGAGTACTGCTCCCCAGGCTATACCATCCTAGAGTTCAAGACCTCCAATTCCTGCAATACAGGAATTGCCTATATTGTTTTTGATTTGGGTTTCGGCTTCTTTGCTGGTCCTAGGGCATGAACTCTGGGCCTGAGCACTGTCCCTGACCTAATTTTTCCCAAGTCTAGCACCCTACGTCTTGATCCACAGCTCCACTTTTGTTTTGTTTGGGTTTTTTCTTCTTCTTTTATTGTTAATTTGAGATGACTCATGGATTTTCCAGACCCAACTAACTTTGAACCAGGATGCCCTGATCTCAGTCTCCTGAGTATCTAGAATTATAGGCATGCTCCAATAGTAGTTGAACCTTTTTCTAAAATTTATATGACCATGATATCTACTTGATCCCACAACAGCCATGAAACCGACTTTGAGAGATGACAACATGGTGGTTGAAGCTGGAAGTCACTACAAGATCTTGGTCCTCTAGTGGTCATCTATCATACATCCTCTAGTTGTCAAGGTCTCGTGAGTGCCCTTGCTCAAATTAGATGAGCTCTGAGGACAGGCCCTTAAAGTTCCAGGTCACTGGGTTTAGCCTAGAGATGTCTGGCCTAGGTAGTTAGTCATGGCTATACTCCACCAGAGGTAACTGGGAGTATCCTTCCAGCTGCTCCATCTCCCCAACAAGCCAGTCTCTGACACCTTTCTCTCCCCAGGGAACTAACTCTCGCCAAGACCCAGGCATAGCCTTTTCTGTGCCTTCAATCCCAGAACAAGTGGGCTGCTTCTCACAACACAGGATTTATGGAAGAACTTCCTCATGGTTGTATGGGACATGAATTTGGGTGGCCTGGAAAGGCCCTTTTAGCGATATTAAAAGGCAGAGACCACAGAGGCAAAGGAAACAAGAGTGAGTCCCCACGGTTTATTATGGATGTCTATAAAAGAGCCACAGTGAGTATTTCCAAAATCACAAAATGCACAACATTCTTATTTTTAATATGCAACATGGAATATTATATACAGATTAAAACCACATGACAGCCAAAACACTCACACGGCACCAGTTCATATCAAAACAAAATACACAAGTGCTTTTTCAATATTAAAACAACTGTGATAAAAACATATTAATATTTTGAACCATGTTTACAATAGAGAAAAATTCATACTTTACTAAATAACAAATATTTAACAGCAAAAACTTTATACTAAATATCTATTTTGAAATTATAACAAAAATAGTACTTATAATAGTTTATAAAGACAGACACAAAAATTATAACATTTATGGGGAAAAAAAGTTTTGTGTATAAAATAATATTAGAGCAATCTGGGCAGGATCAGGATGATGCCCAGAACATAAACGCCAGCGCCCAAATCAAAAGTGCTTCATTCTGCAAGCCCGTCAGGAGGAGTTTTGTGGGTGTTTCATCTTTTTTCTTTTTTAATATCAAGTTACAATAGTTAGGAAACGCAAGTGAGCAAACATCATTCAACTAATGCTACCACTAGAAACACACACACACACACACACACACACACACACACACAGGAACACCAAGACTGGAACCCAAGGCAGAAGATCAATGGAAACATTAAAACAATGAAATCCTGCCAGCTAGGCAAGAGCTTTTACTCCTTCCTATGGTTGCCTTTGAGACCCAGCTGGGCAAACTAACCTTTCTTCCTCCTTCACAGGGATCTCCCTCAGCTCTTCCTTCTCTGCCCTCTCCCAAGCTGCCTGCTCCCAAGGAAAGACCACAGGGACTTCCCACCCCCACAGCATCCTGCCCCTCAGCAAGGCCAGCCTCACTGCACACTCAGTCTGCAACAGTTGGTTCAGGGCAAGTGGAATCAGCTTAAGGAAAAAGGGACTTTTTTGGGGGGTAACAAATTCTAGAGAACCCTACAGCTATTTTGTGTGCTTTGTTGAGTCTTCACATAATTTGGTCTGTTTTTCAGAATTGGGGAGGGCGATTAAGGGGTTTCACTAATTTCTTTAAAATTCCAAGCTATTTTTTGCCAGTAATATTTGTTCCATACTGTTTTAGTAGTGAAAAAAAGAAGGAAGCAATTAAATGCTCATGCCAGTCATCTTAACTCCTCGAAAGGCTGAGATCTAAGGATCACTATTTGAAGCCAGCTTGAGAAGGAAAGTCTGTAAGAGTCTTATCTCCCATTAACCATGAATGGAGTCAAGAGTGGAGGTGTGGTTCAAGTGGTAGAGCACCCACCTTTAATGAAAAAGCTAAGGGACAATGCTCAGGCCTTGAGTTCAAGAGGACGGGGAAGAAAAGGAGAAGGAGGAAAAACCTTTAGGAGTTAGAGTGACAGGACATTGTGGACAATGAGCCCTCATTCCTATAGAGTCCCCCCTTGGTGGAGGAGATGACACATGACACTGAGCCAGCAGAGCGCTGCTCCACATTGGCATGTTACTGAGTTCCTCCTTATGCGATACTCCATGTGCTGAGTTACTCCATATGTGATTCATTTTTCTTGTAAAAACAATTCATTGCATTAATCATATTAAAAGATGAATGGAGAAACCCAGAAAACAAAGAAAAAATCTAAAAACAGACAAAATTGCTTAGAGACTTACCAAAGGACCCCCCCCAAATAATTACCTGGAGGCATTCCAAATTGCCAACGTTCAAATGCCAGGGGCAGGAGCTACTCCTCTTCCACCCAGTCATCCTGACTGGCCCATCTGCAACCAAATCACTTCTGACAAATCCCACATACTCCTCCAAGCTCCTCCTGCAGCCTCCCTCCCACAGTGTCTACAGACCACACAGGGCCCGAGGCAGCTCTGATGGAGGCTGTCTCTACCTTACCTCCCCCTGCTTTCATCTCCTCCCCACTCCCCTGAGCTGGGCTTTGGCAGACAGTGGCATAGAGATGGAGGGGCTTCAAGGACATCTTTCCAAGGTCTAGGGGCAAAGGGTATGACTAAGGAAAGGAAGATGGAGGTCTTCAAGCCCCATCAGAATGAACCCGTATCCTTCCCCATCTTCATGAGTGGCATAAAGGGCACTGGGTGAACAGTGGCCCAGCCAGAAATTATGGCAGTCTCCAAATCCACATGAACAGGGCTTTAACAGGAGAGGGAGGAGGCAATGGACGATTACCCTAACTCCACCAGGGGACACCAGGCAGAGATGCTGCATTTCAGCTTTTAGGTTTAAACAAAATCATTTGTCTAGAGCCCACGAGGTCTGGGCCAGGGGGTCTTCAGGTGTTTGACCAGAGATCCCCTCCTTTTCATTCCTAGAAGTCCTTCTGGTGACTGCTAGAATGGAAGTTAAGGGATGGAAAATGTGTTTGCTTCAGACCTCAGGCTGGCCAAGATCAGTGAATAAATACGGGCTGGGGAGAGCATGAGCCAGGGATGTCATTGGGTCCCTATAGGAAGTGGCCCCCTAGGAGAAGGTCTCTCCTGGGGGGTGAGATGGGGATGGCAGCTTGCTTTCCCAGGCCACTGGGGAGGATGCTGGGGAACACATCTGGGGCTCCTGAACCCCAAAGGAGAGAACAAGTAGCAGCAATAGACAATTTTGAATGTCCAAACTGGCAGCTCTAGGTAGGGGTGCTCTCCAGACGAGTGGCAACCCCTTCCCTGTCCAGATTTGCCTGTGTTGTTGGATTACCCAGCATGCTGTGCTTCCGGCAGCCACAGCAGGTGGGCACTGACTGAGCCATAGCAAAAGAGAGTGGCAAGGGGGCTAAAGAAAGTTGGGGGGGTGCTCTCTCCCTCCCCAGTACAATCACCTGGCCACCAAGGACAACACAAGGGACAGAAGGGACTGTTCAGAACATCACAAGCACACACTGCAGCAAGCCAACTGGCACTAACACTGTCACGGGCATGCAGAGCCCCAGCCAGGCCCTATTCCGGGAGCTAAGCTGGGGGAGAAGGGGAGGAAGTGGGGAGACTCTGGAGAGAGCAGACGTCAAGGGGAGGACCCGCTTCTGGGAAAGATGGGACCCTTTTGGCTTTGGGGAGGATTTGCCAGGGTAGGGGGCAGAGGAGGGCAACTATGGGGATACTTGCTCTCCTCTTCCAGCCCTTCCCACACACAGGTTTCTACCTCTGTCACCCCGCCTCTACTAGGCTGGGCTGAGGCAGGGCGAGGCCCTGAGCCCAGCTACACTGTGGCACTCAGCATGGCCTCTGTCTCTGGCAGAATCTTATTCTGGTTGGAGTCCAGGCCAAAGAACTTGACGCTGAGGCCATCCACTGGGTGGAGGACAGGGACCAAGGTAATGCGAGGGAAGGTCCGGGTGGCCAGCTCAAAGCGGCTAGTGCTGGCCAGTTCCACTGCCAGAACCTTCAGGAACAGCTTGGCCAGGTGCTTGCCCAGGCAGGTTCGGACACCGCCACCAAATGGGAGATAATGGAAGCGGCCATCTTTATCTTCACTCCGTGCCTGGCTGAAGCGATCAGGGTCAAACACATTCACGTCTTTGAACACCGGTGACGTGTCATGGGTATCCCGGATGCTGTACATGACACTCCAGCCTTTGGGGATCTGGAAACCCTGGAAGAAGATGAGGAGGGCCAGGGAATGGAGAGGTGAGAACCAAAGGAGACCAGGAGAGGGCCCAGACCCACCTGTCTGTTCCAGTCCCCAGACTGTCAAGACTGCTCTCCCTAGAGGTACTCCACAGTGACCCCTAGATATAGTCAGCCTCTCCACATGCTAGTCCAGCCTCCTGTGTATGCATGTCACATGTAACTTCACATATGAATGGAGGCTGGCTTCATCCCACTCTTCATTGGAGTTACTTCTTTCCCATTGGGCTTTAAGCTCCCTGCAATCAAGCACTGTCTCTCTCTCACTCTCTCTCTCTCTCTGTCACAGCATGGTACCCAAGGGGCATCTTTCTTATAGATCAGATCCTCTCAACCCCAGCCCCATGGGGCCCAGACTCACATCAAGCTCGAAGGTCTGCAGCACAGTGCGGTAGCCACCGGAGACAGGAGTGAAAAGGCGCATGACCTCCTTGATTACACAGTCCAGGTAGCGCAGCCCACTGAGTGTGTCCAAGCGCAGGGTGCCTTCGCAAGCACAGCCACCACTGTGGAGGATGCCCTGGGTCCGCAGCTCTTCACGCAGCTTCTCCAACACCGCTGGGTGCTTCAGCAGCTGCATGATAAGCGAGGTGCTGGCGCTGGCCGTGGTGGCATAGGCTGCGAAGATCAGCTCCAAGGTTCCATCCTGCCACGGCAGAGAGGTGAGATGTTATTAGCCATCTGAGACAGCCAATCAGGACAGCCCATTCTGCCGGTGTCCCCAGGGCCACGGCCAAGAGAGAAAGAGAGACTCTTTGCTTCCTGTGGCCAGTTCTGCTCCTCTGAGTCTCACATGCTGGAGCTCTGGCATTACTGTGGACCCAAGGGGCACCGTCAGACCCACGGGCTAGGCAGGAAACACACTGCTATGGGCAGAATCACTAGGCTGTTAGTTTTTTATGTAGAGCTCCTTCTCATTCACTGCTTGATTCCCGGACAGCCCCACCGAGTATAGTGAGCTCATGGGAGAAAAGAGACCAATTACAGGAGAGCTATGTGGGCATGAGCAGTGGCTAATGGACTCTAAATCCCAGCCTAACCCCAACTCCCTCTTCTATCCCCAGGAGATACACTATTAGAGGGGTAGGCAGAGAATGGAGCAGCCCAGGATCATAGTTATGAATGCCTAGGAGAAGACTACAGTGAGTAGATTATGGGGAGGTGGCCCTGGAGAACTCAGAAGATCCTTCAGATTTAGCTAGAAAGCAGCACACTGGGCCCTAGGGCTCCATGGAAAGGCCCTGATGGGTTACCTCATTTTAATCCCTGCATTTTTCAAATTTATGTGCTCCGTCCAGAGAGAGGATAAAAGGGCCTGGGTCCCTTACTTGTCATGACACTGAGACTTCTTATAAAATGGAAGTTGCCCCAGCCTTTCTGGCTGCCCAATCCAAAGAGGGGGTGAGGGGAGCGCTAGAACTAAGGTATGGGAAAGCAAAGACCATGGGGATGTGAGGCCTCTGGTAAGGCGTCATTTATAGGGAGACTCTGTGAACACCTGGAAAGCCAGCTGGAAGGGAAGCCAGACAAGGTAGAAGGGAAGCCTGCTTGAGCCCTGTGTAAATGATCCAGGTGACTGAAGCCCAGCTAGGCTGGGCACATGAAGTATTACCAACTGGGAAAGGGTGGGGAGTTAGAGGAGGGGCTTGAGCTAGGTCTAAATTTTCCCAGGGCTAGGGCTGACCTCAAGCAAGTGGCTTCCTTGTGGGCCTGCCTTTCCTTAGGTAATCTTCCAGGATTAGGGCTATGAAGTAGACTGAGAGGTGAACTTTGGGGAGAAGCTTCAAGGGCAAAGTTGTCAGCAAGTCACGGACACAGCCTGCTCAGAGAGTCAAGGACCAATTTCCAGCATCTTATTAAAAACAATAGACACAGCTGTGGGCAAGACCAAGTGCATATTTATAGCCTGGCCACTGTGGGAACCCACATGGTGTGCACAGTCCTGAGATGTCTCGTGCTATGGGCAGAGGAGGGTGGTTCCATGCATCTTCACAGGTAGACCAGAGCAGGTGGAAATGGCCAGACACCCCTCCACCCCAAAGGAAGCTCCAGAACAAAGTGTGGGCACGACAGGAGTGATCCCACCAACCTTCAACTCCTGCATGGTCATCTCCTTCCCATGCTCCTTGCTGCTCTCAATGAGGATGTCCAGTGCATCTGAGTAGTCCTTGCCCTGGGTGCACTGCAGCTTCTCCCGGATGGCCTTTTCCAGGCTCTTCTGTAGGATCTGCCGAGCCTGAATGCCCTGAGGAAAGACGGGACCGTCAGCCATCCAGCTATGGGTGGGCTCCCATCTGAGCCTGGGGATTGCCTGGAGAAAGCTCTTGTCTGCACCACCACCACCACCCCCTGACTGACATGTCTCCTCTCTGCTGATGTGCTGCTGTTCTGTCTGCCCGCCTCTGCAGTCAGCACCCCTTCCCCGAGGGTGAGCTTGTGGAAAGCCCATTCCTTCTCCTCCTAGGTCCTGACTGCTCACCCGTCGGTAGCCGCTGAAGGGCAAATCCACAGGCAAGGAGAAGACATTCTCCATGAATTGCTGGTAGACCTCGAAGAGGTGTCCCAGTTCCTCCTCAGGGATGCTGAAACCCAGCAGTACCCGGATGGCCATGCGGAAGGTAAGCTTCTGTGCCTCCTGGTACACGTTGATGGCCTCCGGCTGGCTACTCCAGGCACGTAGAGTGTCCTGGATCACCAGCTGGATCTTGGGCAGGTAGCTCTCCAGGGCCTCATGGCTGAAGATCTTGGAGAAGACCTGGAAAGCAGAGACATTGGCAGTGACGTATGAATCCCATGACTGCAGCCTGGGAACCATTCCATCTTCAACTCCTCCCACCAGAGGTTTCCAGGAAGGACCCCCTATTTTAAACCCCTGTCCTACTCCCTGGGTCTGAAAGGAACGCAGAGAAGGACACGGTTAGAACATGATTCAAGCATTTTTACTCAAGGTCAGACCTCATCTTGTAATTCGCAGGGTGGCCTGAGCTGGCATCTATGTTCTCAGCCCCCAGAAGGGTGTGTCTGCACACAATGGCAAAGTCTCAGGAACTGCAAGGTCCTTCAGCTGCCTTTGAGTCACAGGGGTTATAGCTATCCCACCCTACAGGGAGTCCTACAGGAGTTTGACTTGGGACTAGCATCCCTTCTGATAAAGGGATCCATTCCAGAACCCAGGATAGAAATGTCAACAGTGAGGTATAGATTAAGTGGACAGGGAAGAGGTGAGAAAGCAGGAAGTAAGTGGCTTTCCTTCTGTTCCATTGGTGGGAAGGCTAGTGCACAAGCAGGACTTTCTGGGAACCAAAATTGTCCTCACGCCTTGTGAAACAACACTGAGGTGGCGATTCTAGGGGGTTCAACAGCTGTGCAATTAAAATGTCTTCAGTGCAGTTAAGTCTGGAGGCAGGGGGATGAAGGCAGTGGCTTTCCACACCCAAAGATTGCAAACACAAACAGAAGCTGTTTTAATCTTCCAGGGCCATCTTAATACCCAAGGAATCCCTGTTTCCACCTCCCTGCCTCAAGCCCTCCTGATTGGCTCCACATCCCCTTCCCCCTATTCCCTGCACATGTTTTTCACACTGCTACCTTCTACGTAGAGGGGAGGGAGAATGTTAGTTTATTTACTGACAGCTTTTGGGTCTCACTTATAATAACCAACAGCCTCCATTCCCCACAGGGTCCAGAGCAATCAGAGGTGTCCAACCCCCACACTGTAGCCAAGGAAAAGGTCAAGGAGGGAAGGCAGAGAGAGAGGCGGGGCAGTGCAGAGGAGAGAGCCCCCGCCGGCCCTGTACAAACAACATGCACGCGCCCGCCCTCCCTGCCTGCCCCCCAAAAACAACCTGCACACAAACTGTAAATGTGAGAATTTCCCCTGCAGTCAGCTTGAGGAGGAAAAGGTAACATTTTCCTGGCCTGGGCCCTGCATGGCTAATGGGAGGGCTGGTTAGAAGGAATAACAGTGCTGGCCCTTCAGTGGCCCAGCCAGACTCACACAATAGCACTTTCATTCCGAAATTCCCGGTGGGCAGAGAGGGGGAGGGAGGCCAGTGAGGGGCAGAGACTCCCACACTGTTCTGTTGGGGCCACTTTTGCCACAAAGGGACAGTTGAAAGGTAGAAGGGTGGTGACAGAAGGGTCCCTAGATCAACTCAGGCCTGGAAGAATCAGTCACACTTTGCCCAGTTTTTTGTTTTGCTTTGTTTTGTTTTGGGGGTGGGGGTACTGGTCTCAGAGTATTTCTAGGTGGAATTCAGCTGCTATTTCCCATCAGAAGGGTATCATAAAGGCAGTGCTGGGTGCCTCAGCCCCTTACTATGGTGCCTTTAGGATTCTAGAATCAGCCCCTGATCAGGCAGTCTTAAGGAGAAGGAGTGGAACCCAGCCAACTAGGGGCCTTTACAAAACAGCAAAGAGAGCTGGAGGCCAGTGCAAAGTGCTCCACGGGGGCTCAGCCGGCCTAGCAAGAAGCAAGGCAGGGAGGTGGGACCAGGCCTCAGCAGGGAGGCTGATGGTGGAGCAGGAGAGTATAAGCAGGCTACCCTAGCCCAGAACTGGCCAGCCCAGTGCAGGGTACCAGAGGTACTCTCCTGGAAGAGACAAGGTTGCCAGTGCACAGGGGACCTCAGCCCAAAGATGTATACATAGATGGGGTACAGTGCAGTGGCCATACTCACAAAGACCAACCGGAGTCAAAGCCAAATAAAGGATAGACTGGGCACTTAGAGACTTGAGTTTTAACCAGGGATCTTCCAGTAATTAACTGTGTGACCATGGCCAAGTCCCCTATCCCTGAGTTTAATCTATAAAAAAATGATGAGCTTGAACCAATTAACCTCTGGGATTCCTTTCAACCCACAGAGCACCTGAACACTTTTTCCAAGAAGATACTGACCCCCTCCAAAATAGCCAGTACCCAGAAAAGCACATGAAATCTGGAGAGTGACTGCCAGTTCTCCATACTGACAACCCACCCTGGCTACAGGGTCCCAGAAAGGGCCATATCAGGGTTGTGAATGGGAGCATACCAGGGCCTTCCAATTCTGAGGAGTGGCCCATGCAGGACACTGACAAGCCCTGCCTGCCCCACAGGTTGCACTCCCTGCGCCCTCTAGCGATTGCTGGCTAAATCACAATCCTGGTTTAGGGGCCAAGGAGGACAGGGACAACCTGGGAAGGCAGAGGATCCAGGAGGACCTGGAACTAAGAAAGCACTCCAGGCCAGAAAGCCTATACTTGGCCCTCTAGCAGGAAGGGGTCCTAAGCAAGACCAGGCACACATTGCCACTCTGAACCTGCAGGACTTTGGGCTGTGGCTCTTCAAAAGAAAACCAAAGACAAGACTGGGGCGCTTAGCCAGACCAGGGACTTGCCAAGAGACTGCCAGCAGGTCATTGCCTCTCTAGGGCTGAATTTCCCAACAGGTCTCATGACGGGGTTCTGAGGTCTCTTTCTATTTGCCTGTCCCCCATTTCTCCACAGAATCCTCCTAAGGTAGAAAAATTACCCCCCAAATGAGAAGCCAAAGAAAGGCAGGTGACAGAGTATCGACCTTGCTAAGGCCACCAACTCCATGCTCCTGACTCCAGCCCAGCTGTTCTACAGGCATTAGGGCCTCCCAGGCACTGGGAAGTCTCCAGGACATCATCTTTGGGTCTGTGCCCAGGGTTAACAACGAGGGCACTTCCCCAAGCTGGGCAGCCCAGAAACCACCGCCCACCACAAAGGACAGGCAGAGGCGGAGGTGCCGGCCAGGGCAGAGGGAGGCCCAGGGCTGTGTCAGGGTGTGCTGGGTCTGATGCCATTGCCTGCTGGGGTCAGGACTAGGGCACGCTGGGAAGGTGCCTGGGAGTGGCTCCGTGTGAAGAGAGGAAGAGTTCCAGCCCCCAGAGCTGCTGCCCTGACCACAGACATCACAAGAGCCTGGATTGCTTTGTTTCCCTCTGGGGCTTCCCTGGAATTCCCAAAAGTGAGCCAAGAATACCAGACAAAGGTCATTGGGAACCAGTCCAGACACAAGCAAAGCCCTGCAGAGGGAAGTGAAGGTATGGACTTTGTACCAGGGTTGGTGCTGGGGGAGGAAGAGAGAGGAGGGTCTTCAGGGGACTTTGTGGGAGTCACAGGGATAAGGGCAAGGACAAGAGAGGATGGGCTCCTGTCTTGAAGGACATCTGTCTTGAAGGACTCTTCAACCTCCACAGTTTTCTCCCAGAGCCCACAGCCCCGGTCTCACACTCTCTAGAATGAGAGCTAAGTCAACAGCAAGGGTCTAGGGGCACCCTCTAAGCTATCATTTTTTTTCCCTAAAAATGTTTTCTCCCCCAACCAGGCCTTTCTGCCTTCTTGTTTCTTGTCCCGTGCCTCTGGGAGCTGGGAGCCTCTCTGTGAGCCACCACAGCCCCGTGTGGTCAGATAACCTCCCACTGTCTGCTGGCAGCTGTGGAGGGATGGACAAATGGATGGGCAGCCGCAAGAGCGGGCAAAGGCTGAGAGGGAGCCCACTGCTTGGCCAGTGACTCAGACTGGGAGGAATGGAAGAAGCTGCCCAAGAGGGATGGGAGCCTGGGCAGGCCACCGGAGCTTCAGCCTGTGGAGTGGAAAGAATAACAGAAGGCAGGCAGCCATCCATCCACACAGGGGTGACGCCAAGGTGTGTGTACTTTATACTCAAATAAGGAGGGAGACAAGCGAGGACGTCATCCATCCAGCTGCCTGCATTTCCACTGGGCCATGGCTTCACTTCTCCTTGGGAGGGCAGGACTCAGACAGTCCCTTTATCCACCCTGTGCTTGTCCCTTCCCTAAGTCTATTGGAGCTGAATGCCACCCCCACTGCTCCAGTCCTCCACATGGGGCTGTCAAAGCAGATGGTAGAAAAGGTGAAGCAGTATTTGCAAATACTTGCTTGCCCCCCCCCCCGCCACCTCCATTTAGAAAAAGGTTACCTAGCTGTTTTTCAGCCACAAGAAAATCCCCTTAGAAAGCGAAAACCAGAGGGGAAAGGGCCCTGCTGAGGTTCCAGAGGCCAGTCATAACTAGCCACACTTGGTAGCATCTTTGAAACGCTCACCACTCCAAACCCTGTGGCACTGCTAGCCAGTCCTCATGGGCTCTGAATTTATCCAAAACTTGAGGGGATGCTCCTCTATGTTGCTTTTAAGGGTAAGGCCATCTCTTCTGGCTATTCCAGTTTGTTAGCATTTCTTAGGTCCCTGGAGTTCCTTGTTTTAGGCCTAGGAAACTCAGAATGCATGCAATGACTGGCACAAGAGAGGGGGGGTAGGGGGTAGGGGGGCAGCTAAGGACAAGAGTAGACCCCAGCAAGCCTTCTCAATATCAGCCATGGCCATATTTGCCTTCCAAGTCTGGGAAAGCAAGCAAACACATCATCACTTCAGCCTTGGACCCCACCCCATTCTGGGAGAAGAACACAAAAAGGAAGGGAAACAGGAGGAGGGTCCCCCCCACGCCTAACCCTCCCACCAGCCCAGCAAGAGGCTCACTCCCAGATACCCTGGCAAATGACTGAGCTTCCTCCCCCAGCTAACCTTCAGGGAGATCCGCTCCTGCACACCCCCACCCCAGCATCCACTAGATTCACTTACTGGTGCTACAGTAACTTTTGATTGAAGGACTTGGGCTGATAGAACAAAGACTGTCCTGGAGCTGAGCTCCTAGTGACTGGGCTGCCATCCATGCCACACACCTTCCCACCTTATCAGCTTGGAGCTTCTGCCCTGAACTGAGCCTGTTGGATATGACTGTGCAGACAGAGGCTTATATGAATTGGATGCAAAGGACCTTTAGAATCAGGTATGGGTTTCTATTTAATCATGGGTACTCCTGGCTTTGCCCTTCTGCTGGGGTATCTCATGGCATCTATATCCTTACATAAAGCCTAGTATGCACTGGGTTTCTAAGAGAAGTGAAGTGACTCTCAGCCTCATCCCCACTCCAGGATGGACACCCAAGGCCAGGTTAGTAAAGGACAGCAAGTGAGTAGGTGGGCTTCTTGATTGCTACTGCCAAAGCCTGTTCACTTCACCTTCTAGCCACTCCAAGGCTAAATACAACACTTGAGATGTTCCTGAGATAGTCTTTGGGTCTGGAGTATATTGAAGCTACTCATTTTAATGCAAAGGTCTATCTTCATAAAAAGAGGAAACACCCAATTCTGCCCTAAACTGGCATCTGAGACTTCCAGAAGTACCCCCGCTCCCTTCCCAAAGTCTCTGCCAACCCTCTTCCAAAGCAGAGTACATCTACTCTTCTAGGGCAACATTCCAATGTCGCTATAGGCTCCTTCACAGACAGGACTCTCCACTGCAAATGAGGGAGAAGAGAGGAAGCAGGAGGCCCTGGCTGTAGGGACACAGGCCTGGTTTTCCATAAGTGATACTATGAAACTGGGCACGACTTTCTGGATTTTTGCCTGGCAACCCCACCCCTTCTGGCTGTAGACCACCAGGGCAGCCAGGGCAAACACCTGGAGTGCAGTGATGGCAGTGAGGAGCCCCCTCCCTACACATCTGGTCAGACCTCCCAGAGAAGGGGTGGGTCACCAGCCCCAATGGAAACACTGACGTTTCTAGTTCCTGGCCAGCCAAGGCCCCTGCACACCTGGGCCTGTTTCCTGCACATACATCCAAACTGGGCTGGGGTCTGGCCCCGCAGCACATTCTCCAGCTAGGTCCCTGATTGCAGGGTGAACTACAATGTGCATGGTACCCAGCAGCCCCAAACCCTGCTTACATAGTGCTGGCCTTGGGTCCAAAGAATGGCTATTTTCTCCAGGACTGTATGGATATTCAGAAACAAGGTCTCTGTGTATCCTTTACCTATCTTCTTGCCAGGTTCTACTTCTTGAAGGCAAAGATCAACTTTCCTGCTTGCCTGTAATGCAAGGTCCTCTACATACACCAGTAAACTCAGAATTATAGGTCATCACTTAGGGAGACATGTGATGGGGGAGAGGTCCACTGTCCAGTTGACTACTCAGATGACCCACACACACAGCAATGGCACAACACAGAAGGGGCTCTGCACTTGTTTCTTGCCCTCAGGCAGGATGAACCGGCTCCTGGTGATTTTTCAACTCAAAGATGCTCGAGCCAGGAGCTCAGAAGGGGAAGCTTGGATCCCTCTCTCCTGTTCTCAGTTTCTGGTCTCACCCTGACTCCATCTCTTCTCACCCTGTGTATTTCTCTGGCACTGTTCATCTATTCTACCCCCTCACCTCCAAATGCATAGTATAAGCCAAATCTCTGGCTTCAGATCACATAGGTGATCTGAAGGCAGGGTGAGACTCCAAAGCAATAGCCTCACTCTAAAGCCTACTGCACACTGTTGCCCCCCTGGAGGGGGGGGTCTCAAGTGGTCCTGGCTAAGCCTTCTTTTCCCTCCGAGCACCTCACTCCCATCCCAGTATATTTTCTTAGATGCCTGACCTATTCAAGTCTACTCAACCTAAACCTCAGTGTCCCCTTCAGTTTGAAAGCTTCTGTAGGAACAAAATGGAAAGTAATCACTTGGTTTGGAGCTGGCTTCCTGAATCTTTAGATCATTCACTCTTTAGATCATTCCAAATGGTGGAGTCCCAGGGAATAAGGCGGGGAAAAAAAATCTCTGTACAAGCTCCCTACAGCCTCCAATCTTGTACTCTTCCCCCCTCTGCCCCCTTCCCCCCACCCAGTTAATACAACTTGAGGATGCTGCGGTAACTGCTTCCAGCTCTGAGTGAGACTGACTAGAGAGGCCTCTGGGAGCAGCCTTCCAGTTTCTGAAATACCTGCTTTATCAGGAGATTCCTAGGGGTGACATGCATACCAGATTCCTGTGTGATTTTTTCCTTCTTTTGTCTACCACAGAGAATTATTACCCTTCAAGGGTGGCTCGGGGGTAGGAGGAGAGGAGATGCTTTTGTGAACACACCTCTAGTACAGACGCCTCCAGGAAGGTGTTCCCCGCCCCCGTTGCCCCTCCCCTCCCCCGGCCCTGCGCTCACTCCTCTGGGAGGTGAGAGGCCCCCAGCTCTTTCTTAGGAAAGGAAGAGTGAGTGCTCTGACCCAGTGGAAAAAACTGAGTGGAGAAGCTGTGCAGCCTCCCTTCTGGCGGCTTCAAGCCCGCAGGCCGGCGCCCCGCCCGCCGGCTCAGCTTTCGGGTTACTGCAGTTCAAACAGCACGTGCCGCCCGCGCTCCGCGCCGCCGCGGCCGCCGCGCAGCGCAGGGAGGGGGCGGGGAGAACCGCTCCGAGCGCGCCGGCTCGCCGCCTCCTCCGTGGTTCTTGCAGTCGCTCGGGAAATCCACGGGATAAACACCCACTTTCGCTTCCTCTTTCAGGAGAGGTAGGTGCGCCGTGATCTCCGTGCGCACCCCCACGGCCCTGCCGGTGGGCGCCGGACCCCAAAGCTCACCACACCTCTCCCAGGCAAGCCCCCCCCAAACTGCTGCCCACGCGGTGTCCCCTGCTCCCCCCGGCACACGCCTGCGTTGCCTCCAAAGCCACCTGTGGCAGGAGGTCCAGGTTTTATTTTAGAAAAAGCTCAGCCCTCCCAATTCCCGGGGTGTAACGTGGCGAAAAGGGGAGCGCGGGCCAACTGTCCCGCCCCGCCCGTTCTTTTTCCAGTTCGGTGACACACTGCCAGGACCAGCGTGGGCAGACCCCGCGCGTTTACACTTTGTCCCAGCCAGCCATCCCCAATCGGGACGCCCAGGGGCCTGGTGATGCCCGCCGTGCGGTTAGCCAGCGAGAGGGTAGCCCCGGGGGAGGCCTCTGCAGGCCGGGGATTCCGGCCAAGGCCGTCTAGGCGAGGGGAGACAGAGGAGTCTCTAGGCTTGGAGCGCAAAGGGCGCTGGGGGGCTTCCCTGGTCTCGGTGAACGACTTACCCAGACGGAAGCTGCATGGCCCAAAAGAGTCCCGAGCCCTTACCTTGCGCTTGTTGCGGTGGATGTCGCCGATGGAGTTGGACACCGTGTTGGGGCCCAGCAGCATGCGCGCGCTGCGCGGCCACTCGGTGCTCACGAGGTGATGCTCGCCCATAAGGATCTTTCGCACGTTCTCGGCGCCCGTCACTCGGATCAGCGGCCGCCCCAGCAAGTGGGTCTTGAACACGTTGCCATACTTCTCCCTCCTGGACGACTGGAAGCCGGAGCCCTGCGGGAGCCACGCACAAGACAATCTGCTCTCTCAGGGCTCACGCAGGGCCGGCGAGGCCGGGACACCGACACCGGTCACCTTCCCTCCCCCCAACACACACGCACACAGACACTCACTCACGTGGGTTTTATTTTTCCCTAGTGTGCACAGAACTGGGAAGTGGGGCCTTGAGGACAATAAACAATGCGAGCCCCGAGGACACCCAGGGAACGCGGTTCTTAAGTCATGGCTTTAGGGAAGGAGAAGGTGTCTTGCCCGCTCGACCTGGAGCTAAAGCCGCCGTCTCCCACCTCTCCCCTCCCCCACGGGCTGCGCAGCCTCTCGGAATAAATATTTCCAGGCTCCAGGCCATGCCTGGGCTGGCGAGACCCCGCGGGGTGGCCGCAGGCCAAGGATTATTTATAGCGGTGAGTGGTCCGTGCCCAGAGACGGTCACTAGAGACGGGGGAGTGGAGTTTCCTCTGTTCTCCGGTGTGGCCCGCGTGGGTACCCCCCGCGGCCCTCCGAGGGCTCTGCAGGGAGGGGCCGGGGACGGAGAGCCTCAACTTTCCTAACGTATTTTGCCCTGGAAATCACTGAGACGGACTTTCGTCACCGCCTGCACGTTTGGAACGGGAGCGAGGCGGAAGGCGCTTCCCGCGGGGCGGGTGGGACCCGGCGGGGTTCCCCTCACAGGTAACAGGATTCCCCGACGTCCGCGGCGGCCCGCGCGGGCCGAGGATCGCGGGGCCCAGGCCGGAGCCCTGAGCCCTAAAGCGCTGGCGGAGCCCGCCGAGCGTCGGTACCGGAAACCGAGGGGACCTCAGAGGGGCGGGGGCGTCTCGCTCCCCTTTGACGTCGGCGTTGGCCACCCCAGCTCAGGTTAACCCTTCTCCTGCCCAGGCTGGACCGGTGAGAAGGGGAGGGGCGCCACCTGTGCAGCCTTAAGAACCGGACCTAAGGACCGGGGTGGTGGTCCCCCAGGGAACAACTCGGCTCCCCCTTTCCTGGATCGGTCCCCTTGCTCACTTTCCACGGAAAACTATTCTGCAGCTAGATAATGTGCACACCTCACCCAGCCCAGCGAAAAGTGACTCTACAGAACCCGGATTCCTATAATCGCTTTTCCACATGCGCCTCCGGCCCCAGCGCGCGACCGGGAGCGAGCCGGGAACTCCCGCGCCGACGAGAGGGGGGCCGGGCCGCGGGGACTCGCCCCACTGCCGGGCCGGCCCCGCCGCGACGCCCCGGCAGACGGCGCCTATTCCTTTAAGAAAAAGCAAGGCAGAGGTGGGGTGCGACGGAGGGGGGGGCGCGGATTGAGGAACGGGGTTCCCTGCCGTCTGCTTCACCGTCTCCCTCGCTCCGTCTGACTCTCCGTCTCTCCTCTCCTTTTCCTCTGTTTTTCTTTTCTTTCGACACAAAAGTTGGGTTGTGAATTTTCCGAGGTCGCCACCGCCTCGCCCCCCCACCCCCGCCTCTGATCTGCCTAACTATAATTAAAGTGCGTTTTTTGTGGCATTAATAAAGAGTTATTTGTCCGCCGTTTCCACAGTCTTCACAAAGAGGACTTTCATAGGGGCGGCCGCTCGGGCCGAGAGTCCAATTTATACAAAAATGTTGTATTTTTAGCCCTGGGCTCTGTTTAGATGGCGCTCAGTGGAAACGGAGAGCCCTTGGAGGTCCCCCCGTAAAATCTGATAAATGACTCCGAAAAAAATAACGCTGGGATTCAGAGGGCTAGCGTTAACCCCCTCCGCCCCCTCCACCCGCACCCCTCCCCCTCCCCCACGGCCCACTACTCCCGCCGCAGGATCCAGAGTGCCCCAGGGCGCACGGACGGGGCGGCACCGGGCGCTTCCACCACCTTGGTGCGGGCTGGACGCAGACACTCCAGACGTCCTAGTGGGATTGGTGGGGGGGGGAGGGACGGGGAGGAAGGTCAAGGAGCCTTGGGGCGGGGGATCGGAGAAAGGTCAGGAAACGGGATGGGGTGGGGGCATTAACCGACCGCAGATTCCGCAGTTCAGCTCTCACCAAGCGGGAGCCCTTGCCAGTGTGAATTATTTTATTTTCTAAATTCTCGGCCGAAAGCCTAGACCACCCCGCAGTTAACCCTTTAAATGTGGTGGCCAGGGAGAAATTCTAGGGATTCATTTGCGAGGGCACAGTCCGATTGGTTGAAGTGAACCCCACCCCATTGGACAAACAACCCCCCAAAGAGATGGATCAACTCTGTGACCTGGAAAGACCACAGGGTAGAGGAACGTCGAGTCCCCCTTCTCGCCCTCGCCGGGCTGTCACTTGGCCTCCTGCGGGGCGGGGCGGGACGGGGCGGGGCGGGTTGAGTGTGAGCGCGCGCACGGATTGCACGCGTCTGTTAATTTCAAGCCAAGCTTCCATACCTCTAAACCCACAGGTCCCAGCGCTCACCTTTCACATCACCTTTCCCGTGTCCGGGTTGTCTTGTTTCCAAGCTTTTGCTAACTGCCACCCACTGGACAAATGTGCGCACACACGTATACCCAAAACACACTTCCCGTGATCACCCCCAGAGGTGCCACCCCCCCCGGAAAAATCCGGTGTGTATCAAATGGCAAAAGCGATTGTCTAGCCTTTGATGAGGTTAACTCCAGGTTAATCTGCTGTTACCTGGGCCTGGCCCTTAATGCGCCCGACTCCCAGTATCTCCAGCACAGTAGGGTCGTATGGTGTCTAATAACACGCGTGCACACACACACATGCACTGCATCTCCCACACACATCTCCCGAGTTCTCTTTTCTGCTAAACTATCCCCACCCAATAAGTAAATAGAGCCTCTCCCCCCCCCCCGAAACCTGAGAGCCCTCAGGTCTCTTGCTTCTCATTTTCCTTGGGTTAACTTCTTCCTCTCCCGCCACAAAACACACACTTCGCGGACCGCGGACCACGGCATCTGAACCTGGCGCAGACGGCTACACAGCCGGAATGCAGCTCTGCTCTTAAAGAGGGCGATTCAAGCTGCCACTAGCCGCCCTCCCGGGTCCAACTCTGTGGACAGTTTTTGACTCCCAGCGCCCCCGTTACAACCCAGGACGCTGGAGGTGACTTGGGGCCTGCAGGGCAAAGAGGGGGCAAAAAAAAAAACAACCAGGCTCTGAACAGGACGCCCCTTCGGACTCGCTCTGCGCAAGGAATCCCCGGGGCTCTTTCTTCCACGCAGCCCCGCTGGGTCGCCCTCCGCCGAGGCACTTCAATCCTGGGAGTCCCCTCCGGTCCGGGAATCCCTCTTAGCAGCCCTGTGAGCCCGCGCACCAGGCGCCTGCGGTTTCTGAGCCCCGCCGCAGGCGGGCAGGGGAAACCCGGGCAACCCAAGCTGCGAGAAGGGAAGGGGCGGGGCGGGGACCGGTGCTTTCAAGCTCCCGGCGCCCCCTGGCCGGTCCGCCGCTCCGTCCGCTCGGGCGCTCGCAGTTAGCGGACCCCGGAGAGCAGCGGAGCAAGCGCGCCCTTACCTGGAGCAGCCAGTGGCCGGTCTCTCCGATGAGCGGGAAGCCCATGGAGCCCTTGGGGATGGGCAGCTTGCAGCTCTTGTCGCGGGTAGCAGCCCAGCGCAGCTGCCACAGCTGCTGCGAGACGGCCAGCAACAGCGTCACGGACACCAGGCACGCGGCGAGGGTGGCCAGCGCCGACACCAGCTCCAAGCCCTCAAAGAGCATGTTGGCGGCCGCTTGGGGGATTGGCTGTGCCGGCCTCGGCGGGGGAGGGGAGGGCCGGCCTAGGGCGGCGAGGGAGGGGAGGCTGTGGCCGGGGGTCCAGGCACCTCCAGCCGCCACGGGGAAGGAGGCTGGGGCTGCGGGGAAAGGGATCGGAGGGGTGAGTGGGGAGACTGCCTAAAGGAAGAGAGAGAGCGGGGTGGGGTGGGAGGGGGAGACAGAAGGAGACTGGAGGTGTAACTTTGTTTGTTTGTTTGTTTGTTTGTTCCTTTACAGCGGGCGTGGGGGGCTGCTCAGGGGGCGATGAGGTGAAGCCTTGAATCAAGCTGGGGGATTTGCTGTCCCCGCAACCATCACACGCGGGAAACTTTGGAAAACTTTGTCCAGCAGGAGCCCCTCTCTCGAAAAGCCCCTTCCCCTGGCTCGGGAGAGGAGAAGGCGGGGGACCGAGAGCTAGCGGAAAGTGCAATCAATTTGTCCAAAGAATCTCCCCCAAATTCCTACTTGGAAAAGAAAAAAAGTTCTGAATTCAAAAATTCCAACGAACCCAGAAATTTGGGGGGCGTGAGAGAAGACTCCCTAGTTGAGGCGAGTGGCGAGGCCCGAGCGCACCGTCTCGAGGCTGACCCCGGCGGAGGCCCCCGAGTCGCCGCGGCACCCGGAGGCGGGCGTGGAGGGTGAGGTGACGAGGCGGATGCTGCGGGCCCCGAG